AAAAAAAAAAAATATGGAAACTATCAGTTTGCCCTTTGTGTTCTCATAAAAGATGAATAGTTCACAGAAATTAAATTATTAATAGAATAAAATAGGTGAACAAAAATTCTAAGGACAATACTAAATAAATGTTAGAGATAAACTTGAAAAAGTGGGATAGATCTGTTGAAAGACTGAAATAAAGATTAGTCCACATCACAAAATCCCAAAACTGCAGATGCTGGCATGGATGCAGAAAAGAAGGGAACACTTCTACAAAGCCTTTTTGGAAAGAAGTATGGAGAATTCTCAAGGAACTAAAAGTTGACCTACCATTTCATCCTGCAGTATCATTACTAGATAACTACCCAGAAGAACAAAAATCATTTTACAACAAAGACAACTGCATCAGGATGTTTATTACAGCCCAATTCATAATAGTCAAATCATGGAAGCAGCCTAAATGCTGAATGGATAAACAGTGGTAAAATGTATGCCATGGAATACTATGCAGCCATAAAAAAGATAGAGACTTTACATCTTTTATGTTTACCTGGATAGAGGTGGAACATATTCTTCTTAGTAAAGGAACTCAGGAATGGAAGAAAAGTAACCAATGTACTCAATACTATTATGAAACCAATATATAAACACTTACACATTCATATGAACGATAAAAAATAAATATAGCCCAGAAATAAAGAGGGGAGAGAAGGGAGGAGGGTAACTGGAGGGAGGGGATTTGGTGGGATTTCACCTAATGTGCACAATGCAAGGAGTACACTTCAAAACTAAGAGTATATTATAAATGTCCTGCCATAAAAATAAGTGAGGTGATGGTTGTGTTAATTAGTTTGATTTAAGCATTCTACATTGTATAGCAAATCATCATTTGTACCCCATAAATGTATGTTATGATGGGGTATGATTTAATAAAAATTAAGTTTAAAAAAAAAATTAAAATAGTTTCCAAAGATACCAGGATAAATTTAAAACCTGGATATCCAAGAAGCAAAAATAAGGGAATACAGAAAAGAAAGTCATTATTCCTCCCAAATAAGACTGTTCAAGAACATTCCAAATTCTGTTCTCAACTTAATGGAGAATTAAATGAAAATGAACAACATCTGGCACATAGTAAATGATCAATAAATGCTGTTAACAGTACTGAAAATGATGGTAAAGCTCTCACAGCATGAAAGTAAATAAAACTATAAGATGAAAGCTCAACACATAATTAATTTCCAAATACAAATATACTTTATCAGTAGAAGGAAATTAACATAATTCACAACTACTTAAAATATTTATTGAAGAAAAAGCTTACTTGGTGGAATTTGGTTTTCCATTAAATATTTTAACTCAATAAACCTCATTTTAACTATATATTACAAAACCAATGCTAACTGAAGTCTTTTCAAATTTGCTTAAACACTTATTAAGGAAAATGGCATCAAGTAGAAAGCTTATCAGTATAAAATCAAATACATTTATTACCTATAGATTTCTAAAATTTTTCATATTGCATGCCATGTTATGATTCTCTAAAATGAGGAATTACTTCAATTCCAAATGAGCAATTACTTCAATTCTAATTGGCTCTCATCTCTGCAAAATTTATGTTATAGAAATGATCAATTTCAAACAGAATAGAACCTCCATAGCTGACCACCTCCTTACACTGACCTAATTTTCATGGACCAGACACGCACCACATGCACATATCAATTCAGAAGGCCTCGTTCCTTATGCTGACCACCTCCATACATTGACTGGTATATTACAGTCCATCGGGTCATCAATTTACAGGTTTTACTGTATTTTAAGATACCAACAATGGGCCAGCCTCATGCCTATAATATTGGCATTCTGGGAGGCTGAGTCTGGAAGATCCCTTGAAGCTCAGGAGTTTGAGACCACGTGAGCAAAAGACAGACAGCATTGCTACTAAAAACAGAAAAACTAGCTGAGCATTGTGGCAGGTGTCTGTAGCCTATGCTATTCAGGAGGCTGAGGCAAGAGGATCGCTTGAACCCATAAGCTTGAGATTGCTATGAGCTAGACATAAGCTATGTCTTGGCATTCTAGCCTGGGGCCAAAGTGTGAGACTCTGTCTCAAACAAAATAAAATACAACAATGTACAAGACCCTATTGCTCTCAAAAAGCTTTTAGTCTAAAACTATTTCTATGCAAAAACAGTCTCAAACGCCCACACATTGAATAACAGCTGCTTACTTTAAGTGAAGTACTATTCTTCTCCAACTTCTCTTTCCCATCTCTGTCATTAGAACTCTTCCTTGTAGAGGCTGAACGTTCTCTTTCTCTTCTTTCACTGTTGTGGTCCCTTTCTTTTTCTCTCTTTTTATCCTTCTTATTTCTGCTATAAGCATATCAATGTCAATTAATTCTAAGAAATTAAAAACCTATTATATTCTTGACAAAATATCCTTATCTCACATAGAGTATCCAAAATAATTCATTATTACTAAGTATACTTACCAGTAAACTGGTTTGACTAAGTATGTGCTCTACAACACGACCTACTCCACCCTTACTCCCATTAGTTTTTTTGAAGTTAAAACTTTTTTTGCAGAAGCCACCATATGTTCATATAAAACACAATTTACTACTGCCAATTCATAAGTTTCAAGATAGTCAAGATTTATCTATCAAAGTGTAAAAAGGATAAAATAAAACCAAATATAGTACTTTCATACGAACCTTTCCAAAGCAATAAACAAATAAGCAGAAAGGAATGAAAAAGATAAAAATTAAATGTGGTTGCCAGGTAGGGCTGAATGACTACTAGCAAAAACTTGGAACATCAAGTAACGTACCTGCCCTCCTCATCTACCATTAGAAAGAAATCTCAACAATTCAAGAGCAAAAGTTAAGCAGAAGATGATGGAATGAACTACCACTTTTAAAAATTAGCATACCCTTAAGATTAGAGGGAAAAAAAACAATGAATTACATAGAAGTATGGACAGCCTCTACTCAAAACAGCCCTAATATGGAATTCTAAACTTTTTTCTCTTAATTATGTATAGTTTAAAAGTAGACACAAATTAATGGAACAAATAAAGACACCTATGAAACAGACCCAAGTACATAGAAAAGTTTAAGCCCAATTGGATTAGAGACCTCAATTTTTAAAATGAAACTACACATACAAGTATTAGAAAAAAACATGGTGAATTAGTGTACAACTTGGGTGAAGATAAATTTTTTTTAACCATAACTAAACTCCAGGTACATAAAAGAAAAACTGAAGAATCTGCCTACATAAACTTTTATAATCATTAGCATATCAAAATAATCATTAGCATATCAAAAGAAAAATGACAAAAAATACTTGCAACATGTCTGCGTGTATGTGTATCATTATACGTAACCTAAAAATTAAAGGAACAATAGTATCAAAAAGAATCAAATACTTAGAAATAAATTTATCAAAATGGCATCTTAATATGAAAGTATTGGAAGTGACAGGGAAAGTTTTCATATGGGAGGAAACAACAGTCTAGCAAGATGCACGGAGCCCATACATGCTAGAACAAGTTCATTCTTATTAACTAATCTGCATGTCCAGCAATTGAGATCTTCATATTTAAAAGCATGCATGTCAGTTAAAAGTAACTCATTTTCCATAATCTTTAAAGAAAGATATTTAATATTCAAAAAATAAAAAATAAATTAATTAATAACCATGTACATTGGAAACCACAAAACTGTGCTTTGACCAGGCACAGTGGCTCACTCCTATAATCTTAGCACTCTGGGAGGTCAATAAAGGAGGACTGCTTGAAGTCAGGAGTTTGAGATCAGTCTGAGCAAAAAAAAAAAAAAAAACCAAGACAGTGTCTCTACTAAAAATAGAAAAATTTCAGGTGGTGCCCACAGTTCAGTGGGTAGAGCACTGGCCACATATACCGAGGGTGGTGGGTTTGAACCCTGCCTGGGCCAGCTAAAACAACAATAACAACTGCAACAACAACAAAAAAAAGCCAAGCGTTGTGGTAGGTGCCTGCAGGCCCATTTACTTAGGAGGCTGAGGCAAGAGAATTGCTTAAGCCCAAGAGTTTGCTGTGAGCTATGACACTATAGCACTCTACCAAGGGTGACAGAGACTATCTCAATAAAAAAAAAATTCAATGGATGCGGTGGTGCATGTCTGTAATCTCAGCTACTCAGGAGGCCAAGACAGGAGGATTACCCTGAGGTCAGGAGTTGGAGGCTGCTGTGAGCTAGGCTGATATCATGACACTCTAGCCTGAACAACAGAATGAGACTCGGTCAAAAACAAAACAAAAAAACCCCACTCCTATTCAAAACAAGCAAGATTTCTTTTTCTTTTGAGACAGAGCCTCAAGCTATCCCCCTGGGTAGAGTGCTATGGCATCACAGCTCACAGCAACCTCCAACTCCTGGGCTCAAGCAAGTTTCCTGCCTCAGCCTCCCAAGTACCTCGGACTACAAGCACCCGCAACAACGCCTGGCCATTTTTTGGTTGCAGCCATCATTGTTGTTTGGCGGCCCAGGCTGGGGATTGGAACCCGCCACCTTAGGTGTATGTGGCTGGCGCCTTAGCAGCTTGAGCCACAGGCGCCCAGCCAAGATTTCTTTATAGAATGGCCAATAGGCACATGAAAAGATGCTTCACATCACTAATTGTGACATAAATGCAACTCAAAACCATAAGACACTACCACACACCCACAGGAACGGCTACCATGAAAGAAACGGACAGTAACAAGTGTCAGTGAGGATGCAGAGAAACTGGAACATTGCTGGGGGTATGTAAAATGACACACACTGTGGAACACAGGCAATTACTCAGAAAATGAGTAACTGTATGATTCAACAATTATTACTCCCAAGAGAAATGAATATTTCCACACAAAAACTTGTACATAAATGTTCACAGCATCAGTGTTCATAACAGCTTTAAAAAGTGGAACTACTAAATGTCCATGAACTGATGAATAAACATGATCTTACCCACATAATGGAATATTACTCATAAGAAGAAAAGACAGGCCAGGTGCAGTGGCTCATACCTGTAACCCTACCACTCTATGAGGCCGAGGCCAATAGATTGCCTAAGTTCAGGAGTTTGAGACCTGCCTAACCAAGAGTGAGACCCTATTTCTATTAAAATAGAAAAACTAGCCAGGCATGGCGGTGGGTGCCTCTAGTCCCAGCTAAGGGACTGAGTCAAGAGGACTGCTTAAACCCAGGAATTTGAGGTTGCTGTGAGCTAGGATGCCACTGCACTCTACCTAGAGTACAGACTGAGACTCTGTCTCAAAAAAAAAGAAAGAAAATATTGTGTTTAGTGAAAGAATCCATATATAAAATGCCACATATCACATGAGTGAACATATGAAATGTTCAGAGTAAGTATATTATTAATGGCTGCTGGGGGCTAGAGGGAGGGGAATATGGGTATAGGTTTTTTCTTGAAATGATGAAAAAATGGTTTGGAATTAAATAGTGATGGCTGCACAACACTATCAATACAATAACAACCATTGAATTGCACATCTTAAAGGATAAATCTTATATGTGAATTATCTCAGTTAAAAAAATTGTGGGGGCTCGGTGCCCATGGCTCACTGGTTAGAGTGCTGGCCACATACACTGGGGATGGCAGGTTCAAACCTGGCCTGGGCCTGCTAAAACAATGACAACCATAACAAAAAAACAGCAAGTATTGTAGCTGGCGCCTGTAGTCCCTGCTACTGAGGAGGCTGAGGCAACAGAATTGCTTAAGCCTGAGTTTGAGGTTGCTGTGAGCAGTGAGGCCACAGCACTCTACCAAGGGTGACATACTAAGACTCTGTCTCAAAAAATAAAACAAAATAAAACAAAAAAACTGTGGGGCTAAGTCTAATCACTGCCCCCCCTCCAACACACACATATACAAGTATAATGTCCTTTGTGAAGAAAAAAGAAATTCTAAAATAAAGAGGGTCCAGTGTGGTGGCTAATGCCTATGTAATCCTAGCACTCGAGGAGGCTGAGGTAGGAGATCACTTGAAGTCAAGATTGCTTGAGGCGGCTCAGCGTCTGTGGCTCAAGTGGCTAAGGTGCCAGCTACATACACCTAAGGTGGCGGGTCTGAATCCAGCCCAGGCCCACCAAAACAACAATGACGGCTGCAACCAAAAAAATAGCTGGGCGTTGTGGCGGGCGCCTGTGGTCCCAGCTACTTGGGAGGCTGAGGCAGGAGACTCGCTG